AAAAAAAAAAATTAATTTAAAAATATATTGAAACCTGAAACATCTAAGATAAATTTCCAATTTCAATACAAACAATTGACGTAAAATCACCTATTAAAACAGCCAGCACCTACTAATCATAATATTAGGGATTTTTACATATCAATCATCCAAAACTTTAAATATAATACATTGAACACTCCTGTTTCAAAAAAAAAATTTGGGTGGTTGAAATGTAAATTTTAAATTTGGGTGGCAAAAATATTATATTTAAAATTTTGGTGTTTGATATGTAAAAGCCTTCAACTTGGGCATAAGCTCTTATTCCGAAATTGCATTGAAAAAAATGATTTACCTCAGAAGAAAAGTTGCGGAATGGTTCGAGTTCAGAGGGAGAAAGAAGGCTTTCCTTAGTTTCCAAATTAGGGTATAAGCTTTTCAGAGCGGCCATTCTCGACTTCCCGCCATAAATATCAGCACCAGCAACATACAACTTTGTTTTACGCTTAAAACCAAGAGCAGCAAGCATAAGTACTGATTCTTCTGGCGTGAGAGGACACTGACCTTCAGACCGCAAGTAGTCTGGAGAAGGCATTCTGACATGCAAGAAAAACATAGAGTAAGATTTATATACTAAAGGTAATCTGAGAATCCAGCCAGATACTTTCATTGATTGGAGAAATATTATAAATGTGCATTGCAAGACTCAAATAAAAATAAATAGTCAAATAAAAAAAAAGACATAAATTCAATAATAGGCCGTATAGAAAATATATAAATATGAAAACGGAAAAAAAAAAAGCTAATAATAACTAGAGCGGAAATATATTAATAATTCTAATACTTCCCCGCAAGTTGAAGCGTAGATGTCCATCACGTTCAACTTGGATTTGAAGTCATCAAATAACGGCCGAAGAAGATTCTTGATAAGGATATTTGTTAATTGACCACTTGATGAGACAAATGGAATGCAAATCTCACCTGAATCAAGCTTTTCCTTAATGAAGTCTCGATCAATCTCTAAATACTTTGTGAGATCATGCTGGACTAGTTTATGAGCAATGTTAATAGTGATTTTATGATCACAAAACAGTTGTAGAGGAGCAGAGACCGACATACGCAATTCTCGGGGCATGATGCGTAACCATAAAGCTTCATAGATACCTAAGACATGGACGAAACTCGGCTTCAGCACTGCTCCGGGCTGCAACCCGCTGTATTTTGTTTTTTCACGTGACAATATTTCCCCACATGAATGAGCAATACCCAAGGTAGATCTTCGATCATGGACGGTCAGGCCCAATCATCATCCGTATAAACAACAATAGAACTAGAGGTGTGGAAAAAAAGACTCAACTTGAGCTTAGTGTGTTTTTTAAGTAGTGAAAGATCCTATGAACAACTTTGAGATGGTGCTCATAGGGATCATGCATGAATTGATTCACAATACAACCCGCGTGGTAATTAATGGGGAGAGTATGAGAGAGATAAACGAGTTTCCTCACAAGAGGCTGGAAGTGAAACTTGTTTACAGGAACCGCATTAGGAACATTAGATAGCACATTAAGAGGTTGGTGCAAGACTACTCCATGCACTTGGCACAGGTGACACTTTCTAGGAATGCCTATACAATCTAGCAGTGTCGGCCAGTAGTACCTGAGTCTCTTAATCTTCATCTTCATCTTCGGCCCTGACTGTTGAGCACCACACAATTCGGCGTGTACTTCTTTGATAATATTTTGCGCTTCTGCTTTGCTCAGACATTGCGACCACATTTGATCAAACAACCTTCTATATAAGACATTTTCTATGATAGCATATGAAAGAGCTCTTCTCGTGTTGTGATATGTTGTTAACTTATCATCTGGTAGCCTTCCTATTTGCAAATATTCCATTAATGACTTGTGCCAATTCTCGGTATTGTCAGGAACATTAGATAGTCCTCACAAGAGACAACCAAATTTTTCATTGGGATCCATTGAGACAACCATAGGTTTATCAAGAAGAAGGTTATTTTCTGATAATAGATCAAGCACATATTTGTGCTGAGACAGACAAATGTCCCGAGATGACCGAGCAACTTCCATGCTTAATAAGTACTGAAGCGACCCCAAGTCCTTCATTTTAAAGAAAGTGGCAAGAATGCCTTCAGAACTCTAATGCTAGCAGATTGTTACTTATGAGCACAATATCATCGAGACGATAATGATAGCAATTTGACCACTGGAAGATTGTCGAAAGAAGAGAGTATATGATTTGATTGGGCCTGAGAAAATCCATGGCATGCTACCATCTTTGTGAATTTGTCGAACTAGGCCCCTGAGGATTGTTTCAGTCCGTAAAGGGACTTCCTCAATAGACACACTTGTCCCCGAGAGGAAGTAGATTCAAAGCAAAGGAGGCACATGTATACCTCCTCTGTGAGATTGTCATTTGGAAAATCATTCTTGGCATCAACCTGGAGCAATTGCCAATCCAAATTCACAGCAAGGGATAGCACGACCCGAATGGTGTTTAATTTAGCAAAAGAAGCAAATGTCGTCTCATAGTCAACTCCATATATTTGTTAGTAGCCTTTTGAAATCAACCGTGCCTTGTTGCATTCAAAGGATCCATTGGAGTTAAATTGGGTTCTAAAAATCCGCGACACCCCACTATTTTGACACCCGAAAGAAGATCCATAGCATCCCACGTATGATTCTGCTCAAGGGCATTCATCACATCCATTACTGCAGCTTTTCAGAAGGGGTCTGCTGATGTTGCCTCAATAGTAGATGGGAGATGATGATCTGTCAGGGCAGTAGCAAACTCTTTGTAAGTCGACGATACATGGTGGGAAAAGATATATTTTGCCACAGAATAAAAAGAGCTCGTCTGATCATATAACTCAATATGAGAACTCACCTCCTCATTTGGAGTATGGTTAGTGTTGGGAATGTCGCCCGGAGTAGATTTCAGATCCCTTAAAAAGGTAGCGGGCTCTAGAGTTGGAATATTGGGATGAGTGCGCCAAGTATAGATACGTAGGAGGAGGTTATGGTTATCTGGTAGGTGGTGAATCTGGAGGGATAAAGGGCTTCTTGGATATAGTAGTGGGAGAAATATCTATAGAAGTCGGATAAGGAATAATGTCCAAATAATCTAGTCCCCCTCACATGAAGCATTGATTGTGTAGTAGGAGACATTGACACTCACATAGAATTTATTTATGATAGGATCAAGACACTGAAAGTCTTTTTGAGTGGCAGAGTATCCGAAGAAGACACATTTTATTGACCTGAGATCAAATTTACTACGAATAGAGCAGCGTTCCGAACAAAGACCATGCAACCAAAAATTTTGGGATCAAGAGTAGTGTAGAACCGACTGGTAGAGAAACATGACATAGATGGCTAATGGAGTTTTGAAGAGTTTTGAAGTTATGAATTTTTGTGGGGACTCTATTGATGAGATAAGTGGCAATGAGCACGACGCATCATTCCAAAACCTTTCTAGGACATTAGATTGAAACGTGATGGAACAAGCCACCTCGAGAAGATGTTGGTTTTTCTCTCAACCACCTCATTTTGTTGAAGAGTATCTTTACATGAGTTATGATGAAGGATCTACTTACTAAGAATTCACCTAATATTGACTTAAAAAATTCATAGCCACTGTCAGTTCAAAACAATGGAATTGACATTATGAATTGGGTCAAGATGGAGTGAAAGTTTTTTAAGGTGGCAACAGCTTCATGTTTATCTTTTAAGATATAGACCCGCATCATTCAAACGTTGTCATCAATCAAAGTAAGGAACCATCGTTTATTAAAGCAATTAGAAGTGCGAGAGGGTCCCCATAAGTCACTGTGAATAAGTGAAAAGGAGTGGAAGGCGTGTTAAAATGTTGTGGATATAAAAGCGACGATATTTAGCTAATTGATAAACTCAAATTTGAAGATAGCAACATTTTATTATTAAACAATAACAGCTACATTTTTTTTAAATATTGAAAATTAGGATGACCAAAACAATAATGCAACATAATAAGACATTCGGTGGATTGAGAAAAACTACAACTACTAGAAGTGTCCTCATTCTTCATGCATTTCTCTTGAAAGAAGTGGAGCTCGTCTGCCCTCTTAGCAATTCCAATCATCCTCCCCGGACGAAGATCCAGAAAAATGCAAAGATCAATAGAAAAATGAGCAATGCAATCAATATCATGCGTCAACTTAGTAACAGATAAAAAAATGAACTTCAGCAGAGGTATATGTAACACAGATTCTAGAATTAGACCAGCTGTTAATACAACCGACACTTTAACAACAATGAAATTACAGGAGCCATCAATAATTTTAACTGTATCTTTCCAGGATAATGAACAATATGCATATAAAGCTTGAGAGCATCTAGTCATGTGATTTGTGGCACTTGAATTAATGATCAATTGACTATAAGAGACAAAAGAAGTGAGTCATAGGAATGTTACCTTGACGAATGTTGGAGGTTGATTGCTCCATGTAACTCTTAAGAGATTCGGGTGATTCCAGTGTTTCGAGTGAGAGTTGGTTGTGTCGTAACGATTCAAATGCTATAGTGAGACCTTTAGCAATGAAGGGTTTGGTTGAAAGTCTATTCACCGGTTTACTGTGGAGTTTCCAACATTTATCACAGGTTTGTGACAGTAATCACAAGTGAAGTTATTGGCCCATGATGACGCAGAGGGTTGAGCACAATTAAAGACCAAAGCGGACAGCTCGGCTGAAGGAGTGGAAGTGTCGAGCATGACAAGTCTGCGGCTTTCTTTGCGACGTACAATGATGAATGCAACACAAGTTGAAGGGGATCCTGGTCAAGAATACGACCTTCGACTTCATCGGGATACTTATTTAGACCTGCCAAAAATTGGAACACAAGATCATTTTCCACAATTTTCTAAAAGAGGGAAAGATACGCTGGAAAATCTCATGTGTAGTTGTAGTAGAGCTCGCATTTCATCCATAAAGCCACCAAGTCATTGTAGTACTGGGTCACAGTCCTTGATCCCTTGTTTTTCCTCGGGGATCCTCTTAGAAACCTCCTAAAGTTGGCCTGAGTTTTCGACGCCCGAGTAGGTATCCCGAACTTCCATCCATACAACACTTACAGATGGAAGAAACAAATACAAACGACCAATTATAGTTTCCATGGAATTTATCAGCCAGAAGTTACCGTGGAATTCTGCACTTCCGATGTACCATACGTCGGGTCAGTTTTCGGAGGTTCACGAATCATGATTGTGAGACAATCAAATTTATTGCATCTCTTCACGAGCAATGACATGACCTGAGACCATTGGAGAAATTAGATTCGTTAAGTTTATAGGTGGCGATCAAGAAGTTTATGTGATTTTTCGGTCCTCTAGTTTGCGAATGGATTGAGGTTGTCATTGATCCTCCGATGAACTTAAGTCCCCGTCTGAAGGAGGCTCGGTGGTGGAGTCCAACATGATTCGGACTAAGCCAAAGAAGAGGTTGGGGTTCTGAGACAACGAAGGATTCTGACTGCAGAAGGAAAAACCGGCGGCAGGTCAGAGACTGAATCTTCAGGAAAGGAGGGGTGGCAGAGGAGGCCTA